CTGTTGGTTTCGGATTGCACACCGCGAAGCAACAACTGGCTCACTCTCCGTCCGTTTCCGTTCGGAAGAAGCGGAGAGAGACGATTCCGGAGGTGGTGGAGCCAGAGCACGTGGCGGAGGAGGCCGAGAAGTTCTTCGCCAAATCGTTCTTCAGAAAAGTGGCTCATGTTCAGGAACCTGCCAAGTTTGGAGATTACAGCGTCCCTTACGATTCTCCACTCGGCGATGTCTTCGCCCATCGCCACCGTAGCGAGACGCTCAAGTCCGTCGGAATTGATCCCGTTTCCAACTGAACTTAGCTTCGCTAATTCGGCGATTTTTACTTTAGGTTTACCAGGAAATCTTGCGGCTCTCTGTAATTAACTAATAACAACATTCCGTGAATGTAATTTCTGTAAAACATCAGTATCTTCATCAATTTAGTTTCTGGAAATCGAGTATGAATGTAATCGGTATCATCAACAAAATTTAGGTGCTTGCCGTCGTTAAAGAAACAATCATCAAGGGGGATGAAGTCAAACAAGATGAGAGAAAATACAGAAATCAAGGCTTCTAGGGTAGCTCGGAATTGTTCGATCCCCAGAAAGAACTGAATCCCATGATTCCAATCCCACCGTTGAACCCCCGAAGGCTGAAACTGCTTATTTATTTATTTATGATCTTTAAGTGAATGTTGGGATTCGAAACCAAGTCGCCGCTGGTTTATTTCTTAATATTTTGACATTATCCATAAAAACCAAAATGACTTGAATCATTTTTTGTGGGTTAATTTGCACCTAAAACTTCTATTTTCATCAAAGTTAACCTTCTTGTAATTTTATGCTAACACCTTTAATTTTCTCAATAAATGTTGCAATTTTCATTTTATCATCAGATTTGTAACTTTATAAAGTTGACGTATACTTAATTCCTAATCGAAGTGTTGAAAGTTTTTATTTATTTTGTAGTATCATGTGTTTTTAAGTTTAAGGTAAGTAACATTGAAAATTTAAGATAAAAGTTAACTTTTGAACTTTCAAAATGTTTTTCAACATATTCTAATTAAAATTAGAATTTGTTAAATAAAACAATAGGAATCAAAATGAAAATTAAACTGAAAAACGCGTTATTCTTCACACAAAAAAACAATAAAAATCTATGAAATTCTCCCACTTTCCATCCCGTTAAAAAAACTTTAATCAATCCAACTTTTTCTTTTCTCAAATAATTAATCAATCCAACAGAAACAATGATTGGAATTGGTTATAAAACTTAATATTATCTTTTTTGTTTTTAAGTACACCAAGGGCGGAATTTAAATCATTGATTTTTTTGGTCCAAAAATATATGCTTTTTATAAATTTATTTGGAACTTAGTATTCATGATATATACATATATGT